ACACACACACACACACACACACACACACACACACACACACACACACACACACTGCTGGTTTGTTTTTATAATTGAATCATCAGCCTTTCTTCAAGGCCCGATTTAATGCTAACAACCATTTTCAGTTCCCATTAAAAATGATGATATTTTGATCCTATTACGTTGATGTGATTTTGAACCTGAACTGCAAAGATTGGATGTCATCCAAAAGTTTTCCTTGTTTCTGTTATTCCTTTGTGGGGTCCATATACCGCAAGCCCAGATCAGCAGCTCAGCTGAAACACTGGCTATTTTTTCACTGTGTAGTGTGTGTGTGTGTGTGTGTGCTGTTTCCCCTCTCACGCTTAATGTCAAATAACCCCTAACAAGTCCCATTTAGAAATGATTAATAGGAGATATTAGGCACGATTAGACATTAGGCACCTCACTAACTAGATTGATGTCATCTGGAGTTTTAGCCACTGCTAAATTATACGAGGCGGTCGAAAATTCCACAGGAAAATCACATGAACCTCATCACCTCACGGGCTGCTGATTCTCAGCGACTGGAAAGCCTTTAGCACACAAATAATCAGTCTACAGTATTTGTTCAGACAGCATAGAAATTTTGGGAAGACCAAAGAAAATGGCATTCAGGGGCGTGGTAGGGGTGAGGGTGTGGGTAAATTACAGTCTGGATAGGATTAAAATCAGTAATCAGTGAGCGCATAACTAAAATCAAATTAGTGCTCCTGGAGAAACAAATCCCTCTCAATTTGGAGCTTTGGAGGCAAAAATCAACCCTCAGCTGAGCGTTGCATCTGTGTCAGTGTGTTAGAGACACACAGTGGGAATGAAAGACAGGAGAAGATGAGGTATATTCATACCACATCACATTAATACCCATTAATCACCAAGTCTGATTGTAATCTCATTCAGGTTCAGCAGGTTAAATAAACCCTGCCTTTGACAGTCTCCATGGAACCTACGTTTATTGATCAACTTCTGCTTAAATACTTGTGGATTAATACTGAAGACCAGCTTCTACCAGCATGCATTACCTTCTATCACACACTGCTCTGGGATGGGGATCTGCTGCACCATTACTTTACAGAAATCTCCGATCATCTCCATATTGTCTCTTAAATGGATGTAAAGTCTGTCAGGCTCCGCCCACTCTCCTTTCTGTCCATCCTTCTCTCTGTTTTGATTTTTCTCCACCTCTTTAGCCGCTCTGTCTAGCGGAGTGACGCCGACCAGAGAGCCATCTGTCAATTTCCTCTCAGCAGGTGAGACTTCATGGTTTTCTGAATGCTGATTAGGCAAAGTGTTGGAAAAGGCGCTATCTGTGCTGAGCTCCACCCCTTCACCGTCCTCCCCTTCGTCTGAGTTAATGGACCGAGAACGCACGGCATGGAGAGCCAGGCTCTTTGACCTAGGAGAGAGAGCATGAAGAAATTAACAGTTAAAGCAATAAAAATGTTTCTGGTACCTCTTCATCAATATTTGTTGACTGTTCTACTTTTTTCTACTTTGAGAAATGATGTAATATCCTTAAGCCACAAAGAAATTACAACTTCCAGAGTAGTAGGACATCTCACCAAG